AATCTATTAATTATTTTTACTTATTTTTTAAATAATATATTTTTTGTTAATCAAATCATACAAGTTCATATAAAAGAATAATTGATTAACCCAATTTCATATTTAAAAAAATGAAATAATATATAATGAATGAATAAATAAAATAAAATATGAATAAATAGAATATGTATATATATATATATTTTATTTATTATTATTATTATTATGTATATATATATTTTATTTTATTTATTATATATATATTTAAAGAGTTTATATTTAAAATAATCTTTTCTCAATAAATAGTTTAAATTAGTAACCATAATCTTACCAAATAAAAATCACAAAATTCATAATATAAAAATTGCTTCATTGATGCAATAGCTTTATGGAAATCTCGTTCTATAAATGCATTATTGATTGTATTAATCATTAGAGATAATCTACTTAAAATCCATTGATCAATAATTGTTATATTTATAGGTTTTTGATATATTTTTTCATTTGTCATAAGTATGATATATTTGCTTGCCTGCCAAATTTTATTTAAAAAATATTTATTTGTTTGACATTCCATAATATCAAAGTTGATGTGTTGATCTATCAAACAAAAATATTTATAAATATTTAAAATGTCAAATAATAAAAATATTATAGATTATGTATAGATTAATTTATACTAACTTTTAATATTGTGACTAGATAATGTCATACGCAATGCATCTACACCACATTCTGATATACCATTAGGAAATAGTTTATTATTTGCATTTAACATCCGTTTCAATGTACTTTCATTAAGAATACCTATATTGTAACTTTTTTTCGTTTGTGCAATAAGATCCTATTTATTTTGCAATATTTGATATAAATAAAGTATATTTTAACATGTGAAACTTACATTTACATGTATATTAACATGTATATTTTTACTTATTACTTATTACTTACATTTAAACTAATACCATTGATGATATTTTCTGGAGAAATAATATTTCCAAGTGTTTTAGACATTTTCTTTCCATAAGCATCACATAAAAGACCATGCAATAAAACTTCCTGAATTTTAATTAATTACAAAAAGAAATTAAAAATGATTTAAATATAAAATAATCTTAAAATATAAAAAATCTTACATCAAAAGGTAGACAATTAGTTAATTCCAATCCTAGCATTACCATTCTTGCAACCCAAAAAAAAAGAATATCTCGTCCTGTTTCCATTAATGTTAAAGGATAATATTTTTTTAAATCTTCAGTCTAAAAAGATATCTTAATATAACAATAAATAAATTTTTTATATATTATTCATGTTTATATGTGTTTATACTTTTTCTGGCCATCCCATTATAGCAAAAGGAAGTATTGCAGAAGAAAACCATGTATCTAATACATCTTCATCTTTATATAATTTAATATCTGATCCATATTTATTTTGTACAATAATTTTTGCATCATCTTCAGTGCGAGCAATTATCCACTCAGTTTTATCTTCTATTGTAAAATAATATGCGGGAATAGGATGTCCCCACCATATTTGTCTTGAAATACACCAATCTCTAAAAAAATATTATTATTAAGAAATAAATTACATTATTTCTTTTTTTAAATATTGTTTATTTTTTTTTTTTTTTTACCTGATATCATTAAGATAATTATTCCACAATATTTCTTGAGTATTAGGTATTATTTTTAAATGACTTTGTTTTACTGCTTCTACAGCTTTTTGAGCCATATCTTTACATTTAATAAACCATTGTTCTTTGAGTAGATATTCTACAACATCGTGAGTTCTCGAACACAATGGTATACACATCTTATGGTCACTAATACTTTTTAAAATACCTTTATTTGATAATTCATTTAAAACTTTTTCTCGAACAATAAATCTCGGCAAACCCTGAAATTTTTTTATTTATTTTTAACAAATGAAATATTACTGAAGTAGAAAAATTTATAATATCAAACAAAAATATAACATAATATAATATCATAAAAATATAAATATTTAGTTAAAATATAAGTATACTTCAAATTGTTTGCCTGCTTTTGTTATATTTCCATATTCATCAATAACTTCAATAATTTCTAATTGATGATTCATTGCAATCATATAATCTAAAGGATCATGTGCAGGTGTTACTTTTATTGCACCTAAAAAATTCTCTTTAATTATAATGTGCTTATCATAAAATATTATTTAAAATAATAAAATATGTTTACCTGTTCCAAATTGTTTATCAACTAAATAATCAGAAATAATAGGTATATATGTTTGTCTTAAAGTATGCCAGACTTGTTGACCAATATACTTTGCATATCTTTCATCATCTGGATGAACAGCAATTGCTACATCTCCAAAAAGAGTTTCTGGTCTAGTAGTTGCCACTACTATCTCATGTTCTAAGAAAAAAGAATTATATTCATATTTTAAGAAAACAAATTTTCCTATAAAAATTAATCATATATATAGTTTGAAAAAAAGAGAAAATAAATTTTACCTGAATCTTTCACAGGATAAGCTATATGTACTATTTCACCAAATGTAATCATTTTTTCATATCCTGGAATTTGAAGCTGTGTTTTTTTAGTAACATATAAATGCTCTACTTCAATATCTGATATTGTACTACGTAAAGTAGGAGACCAATTAATCAAATCTTTTTTCCTATATAATAAATTTCGATCATTTAATGTAACAATCGCTTCTATCACAGCATTATTATGTTTCTAAAATTTCAAATACAAAAAATATTCTGCTTGTTCAAAACTTCAAATATTTTTTATAGAAGAAATCATATTTTATACCTTACTCATTGTAAAATATTCTCTAGACCAATCCAAACTAGCACCTAAAGCTTTTAATTGAGATTTTATAATATTTTCCTTTTCATTTTTCCATTGCCAAATATATGAAAGAAATTTACTTTTTCCTATATCTGATTTATTAATACCTTTGGTTTTAAAAAGATATTTTTCTACCATCATTTGTGTACCAATTCCAGCATGATCAAAACCTGGTATCCACATTACAGAATATCCTTTCATCCTATACCTAAGTATAATTATATATAAAATATAAATGTAATTTATGTTAAAATGTTATTTATTTCAATATGTAAAGAATAATCATATTTTAAAAAAATACCATCTTGCTAATATATCTTGAATTGTAACAGTTAATGCATGTCCCAAATGCAATGTTCCTGTTATATTTGGAGGAGGTAGAAGCATTTTCAATGCTACTTTCTTATTATTTCTAAGAGTAAAATAATTATTTTTCTCCCAAATGTAATACCATTCATGTTCTATTCTTTTACGATTAAAGGTTTTTGGAAAATCTAGAAAAAAATTTTTTGAAAATAAATTTTTAATTATGATATTATATAAAATACATATGTATCCATAAATACCTGATAACTGAGTAGAAAATTTATTGCAATAATATTTATAACATAAATTAGAACACAATAATGTATTATAATGTGTAATAACTTTCATTATGAATATATATGTTATATATGTTATATTTATATATTATTATATATACATTAAATATTTATCATAATTATAAATGTTAATGATAGTGATTATTATTCATTCATACTTATAATAAAATAACATGTTATATAAACTATTAATTATTATTTGAAATTCAAATTTTTTTATATTATTTACGATTTTTTATTAAGGTTAGTTCTTTTTAAAATAGTTTTCAATTTTTCAATGATATGATATTAAATATTCATTATTTTTACAAAAATTTTTATTAAATAGCAAAAAAAATATTTAATTTTAAAGATAAATAAAATAAAATATTTTTAAGATAATAAAATAAAATAAAATAAAACTAAATTATTTTTAGTTATTAATGTTATATTATATAATAATTTCTCTTTTTATAATTAATTATATACATATTTTTATAAAAGATGCTAATAAAAAATAATAAAAAAAATTTTATTCACCACGTTAATGTACAATATTCATATATTATTATTATATACATTTATATTATATTTATTATATATATTATATTATAAACATTTATATTATATAATGTAAATTTCAAATTTCATAATGAAAAAAAAGAAAAAAAGTACTATTTTCTGCTCTTTAATTTTTTGATTATAATAAATATTTTTATTAATTAATCCTATTATTAATATTATTATATATATTATTATTAATAAATTATTAATTATTAATTATTATTAATTAATTTAATCCTATTATTATTAATTTTATTATTATTAATATTTTTATTAATTAAATTATACTGAAAAATAAGTTAAATCATAAAATATTGATAAGAATTGTATCTATTAATTCGATGCGTGAAGAAAAAAATAGGATCTATCAAAATTGAGTAAGATAGAAAGATTTCAAAAGAAAAATATAAATGAGATTTTAAATATTGCCGAAACTTAAAGTTAGCGATAACGAATCGAGTGAAAAACTCCTCTTGTTTTCGTCTTCTTAAAACGAATCAAATTCCAATGTTCAGCTAATCAGCAAATAACATCATGATAATCTTTTTTTTAAATCACTAACTATTGATTAGTTTGTAAAACAATATAATATCTAATGTTTAATGTTCATATGATCTTAACTTAAATTAATATTTTTTTATTATATGATAAATTCATTTTCATTAACATTTGTTTTTAAATAAATATTTATTTTAATAGATAAAAACAAAATTATGTAATTTAAATTATCTAATACTTCAATTATTCAATAATAAAATAATTCAATTATTTTTGTAAAAATATTAATCCTAAATTGAATATTTATATAAAAAAAAATTATTTTATTCTTTATATTATCAAATTTTTTGATGATAAAAATTTAAAAAAAATAATGATAATTTTATAAGTATTATATATTATATTATTTTTAAGTATTTAATTTACATATTGATAAAGTAACTTTTTGCATTATTTCTGATTATTTTTTCATAGAATTATCAGTAGGATAAAATGGCCGACAATGATAAAAGTGTATGTTATGGTGCGAGTTGGTATAGTCGCCATTTTGTCTCGCATACCAACAGTTCTGCTTCTATTGTTCGCTGTTCGATCTGTTCCATTCCATTAATTATAAGACGAAATACTTGATATTAAAAGTGTTTTTCATTTCATTTCAGTTATTTTATTATCGATTTTATAAAACATTTTTTATATTTTTTTTATAAAATAGAATAGAATTTTTTAAAATAATGAAAGTAAGTACTAATTTTTTTTTAATATATTAATATTATTATTATGAATGAAAATTTTTTCATTTATATAAAATATATATAATTTTCTATTTTTTATTGCACACATATTATGTATAAAGTTTTGATTGTTTTAAATATTTATTATTTTATATTAATATAATACTTATTTTTAAAATATGTTTCTCTGAAAATAAGATTCAATTAATAATAATTAAAAACTTTGTTTGATATTTGTATAAATTTAAAAGAAAAATATATATAGATGATATGGAATTTCATCTCGAAAATTATATTTGTTATTTTTAGAGATATTTGTTCTGATTTTTGTAATGAAAATTGTATGATAATGAAATTGATGACGTAATATACTAGTATAGAAATTATAATATGATATTAATAATTTTTTTATATATTAAAAATTTCAAAATTATATCTTAAAATATCTTCATTTTTTTAAGTGACATATTATATATTTTTTTCTATTTTTAGTAAAATGATATTCTATAAATAATCGTAAAATAATAATAAATGGATTAGAATACAATGATTCTAATATTCATCGATACAAACGAACATTGATTTCGATACTGATTATTTTTATTTTAATTTATTTACTTGTTATCTATTATTGGTTTGTATTAATTTATATTTTATTAATTCGGTATTTTACTAGGAATAAAAAAGTATAATACACCATTTAAAAAATGAAGATAAATTTTGAAATCTTTGAAAATCTTCACTTTTAAAAAAATTGCTATATTATGTTCTTTGTATTATATAACTTTCAATAAACTATTGAAATTTCTCTAAATATCTAGATATTTCTAAAGATAACAGAAATGTTCAAAGTAATCTAAGTTATTTTAATCTAAGTCTCATCTTGAATATATCATAATTTTTTTATTTATTCATATAATTTTATAATGAAGATTGTCTTGAAAAAATATAAAAATATTATAAGTAAAAAAGTAAATATTCTAGATACTGCTTTATGAAAATTTAATGAAAATATTTTTATAATTATATATTTTTATAATATTTTAATAATTATTTTCGAAGTAGTTTTTTATATAGATTAATGCACATAATATAATAATCATATAATATATACTTAAAAAAAATATTTAAATAAGAAATTAATTTTATATATATTTTAGGGACTAGTTGCTCTTGTAACTGGTGGTGCTTCTGGATTAGGACTTGGTGTTGTACAAAGATTTATAAAAGAAGGTGCTAAAGTAGTTATTGCAGATTTACCAATATCTAAAGGAAATGAAATTGCTAATGAACTTGGAGAATCTGCTATTTTTACACCAGCAGATGTAAATATAAAATAAAATCACAAATCATACTAATATATAATAATATATAATAAATCATAATAATATATAATATAATAATATTAGCATTAATATTAAGTAGTATTAAATTATTACTAATAATAATAATAATTATAAAAANCTATTATATTATATTATTATTATTATATTAAAATTATCAATAATAATAAAAAAACTTTAATAATAATTAATAAATAATTAAATAATAATAAGTAATTAAATATTGTGATTTTGTATTGCTGGTATTATTTATTGCATGTATATTACAATTAATATAATTAAAAATTATTATAAAATGAAATTGAAAATATAATTTTTTTTGATTAAATATTGTACATAATTTTGTACATAATTTAATATTATATATTCAAATATTGCTGAAAATATCTTTATATTAATGAATATAGTATTTTTATATTAATGAGTATTTTGTATTTTTTTCTAGATAACATCAATAAAAGATATGAATGTTGTTGTAAATGAAATAGATAAGAAGTTCAACAAATTGGATATCATAGTAAATGCAGCAGGAATAGCTGTTGCCCACAAAATATATAATTTTAATAAAAATATACCACATGATTTAGATAAATTCAACAAAGTGCTTAATGTAAATGTTTCTGGAACATTTAATGTTATTAGATTATGTCTACCACTTATGTATAACAACACACCAGATAAAGATGGATTACGTGGAGTAATAATTAATACAGCAAGTGTTGCAGCATTTGAAGGACAAATTGGTCAAGTAGCATATTCTGCCAGTAAAGGTGCAGTTGTTGGAATGACTTTACCATTAGCTCGCGATCTTGCTAATGTTGGTATTCGTGTTGTTACAATTGCACCTGGAATATTTGATACACCTATGCTAGGAGATTTACCAGAAAAAGTGCGTCTTTACTTAATGAGATCAGTACCATTTCCAAAGAGATTGGGTACTCCTGATGAATATGCTCAATTAGCTCAACACATTGTTGAAAATTCTCTCCTCAATGGAGAAGTGATAAGATTAGATGGTGCTCTTAGAATGCAACCTTAAATAAAATTGTTTTGTAATTTTATATAAATATGGAATTGGATAAAGGGGAAAAATATGGATATTTTAAATGAAAATTGTATAAAAAATATATAAAAGAGAAATAAAACAATTAACATTTTTACATGCAACACCATTATAATTCTCTTAAAATGTACACAAACAACGAAAAGTTTTCATCTATTATAGGTATTGACAATTTTCTTTATTACCTTATAACTGTACATTAATGTGTTGTAAATAAGTTGCAAAAGTCGCAACATCTTTCTTTAAATAGTTCACTAGAATATCATCTAGCAAAAAAGTTGTGTACATAATATTAACATAAAAATTATTTAGTTGTTCCATTATTCATTAGTCTTTCTTTCCAATAACCTCTGGAGATTTCCAAAATTCCAGTAAATGCTGAAATTTATTTTGATGATTTTTCGGAAGAGCCAGTTTATTTGATAAGGCAGGATAATCAGGATCTCCGAGGTCTAGTCAATCCTAGGCATTTGATTCTTTCAAATTTTGTAGCTTTTCTAATTGGTCAGGTTGTAATTCATCTGGAATACTTGCCCTTCCTCCCACTACCATTTTTTCTGGTACAATTTCAATATCTTCTGTTTCTTGTACCTCGATTACAGTACCATGAGATGGTATAGATTGAGAATTATCTGCTGTACTTGGCCCAGATGTTGAATCTGCTTCACTACCAGAACTGCTACTAATTGGAAATGGTGCAGAGTCTGTTGGTAAATCATCAACTGTTGATTTTTCTTCAATATCTTCGGTTGTTTCTGTAGTTTCTTGTTCTTTTTCATCTATTATCACGGTAGCCTCTTTGCAATCACTTTCATTCACATCAGTATTTGTGCTTGAAGGTAAGTCACCATCAGAACTTTCCGTCGATTTCACTGTATCATCAATAGCTTCTTCTAAACCTGGGAAAGGATGTTCAACTTCTTCCATTGGCGTCGCTGCAGTAATTACAATTTGCGCAACGCCAAGTCCGAAATCTTCTTTCGATTGGTCATCAGTATTTAAATATTTTGTTTTTTCATCATCTACCTAAAAATAGAAATGTAATGGTTAAATTTAAAATTAAAATTGTCAAATTATTAATTTTTAAATAAATTTCGTTAAATTTTCATTTAAAAAATTCCATTTACCTTCGTTCCTAATTCATCCGATACTTCTACAACTAAGCAGCAATTTGGTATACATACATTCAAATTAAATATAAATAGGATAATAATAATAATTTGAAGCTTACCTATTATACCAGGTCCTTCAGATTGATCTGCTTCAAACTGTGAGCCATATTGACTTCTTTGGTCCTTTGAAAGATTTATCATGAATCCTTCTTGTCGATGTTCGATGCTTGCATTAATAGATTTTCCATTTTGTGATTCTATATATTAAATAATAATAATAACATTTTTTTCATAATAATTCTATTTTTAAGAGTCAAATGTTACCTTTCATCATATTTTGTGTTATTTCATTTTCTAATAAAAATTCTGGAACTTCGGGTGGTGTAAATACTGGTGGTGCAGAGCTCGGTGGTGTTATATTCTCCTGATAAAAAAAAATAAAGAGCATTAAATATGAGAATTAGAAATAGAATTCAAACAAGCAAAGCAATATTAATTTAAAAAATACATTAAAATTATTTATTAATTGAAATGTAACCTGTGGAGTTAAAGGTGAACCATCTGCAGCACAAGGTTCTACGATTAAAGATGGGAATAATCCTCGTTGTCCACGTAATTCTCCTTCCCACCATCCATCATCGACATCGTGCGGTTCTTTTCTTAAGACTTTTAAAATATCACCTTCAAGAAAACTGAGTTCTTCGTCACATGTAGCATCATAATCGTAAAGAGCAATGCAATATTGTTCTATTTCTAAAAAAAGAAATTAATAGTACAATTTTCAATATGATATTATATTATACAATAATATTAAAATATATTATTCTAATAATTTAATATATATACAAATATTATTATTATTGTAATTAAATTATATGGTTAATTTAAAATTTGAAAAAAAATTAAATTAAAATTATTAGTTATTTGAATGAGAATTACATAAATTATATGAATTATGTAAGAAATAAATTTACCTCCTATATGATTTTGTACAATAGTTTCTGATGTTGTCATTTGTAGATTGGCATCTGGATCTACTGCATCATGATCATCGATAGTATAATCTACTGAGGAAAAGGATATTTGTTGCACCAAACCTGGTCCTTGAGAAGTAAGACCGGATGTTGTGTCTCTTTCAACATCAAGATAATTTTGAGGAACAAAGCCTTCTTCACCACGATAATTTCGTGCTCTGAGCCATCCATCACCATCACCTTCACCAACAACTTCTAATTGCTCACTTTCAACAATTGACAATTCATCAGGATTTTGTGCCTGTAATAACAAATATTATTCATATAATACATAATTATTTTTCTAATGATAAAATTTTTTTTTTATTATAAAAATTTTTTTGTAAAATATTAATTTTCATTGCAATAAGTATTCATACCGTATATGAATAAAGCGCAGTACATTTGTATATTTGTTGTGTGGAAGGAATTTCAGATGTTTCGCGAAGTTCAATCTGTTCTTCTTTTTCTTCATTATCCCAATCTACAGCCGTCGGATCATCCCAACCCACTGTAAGTTGTTCTATTCGTTGTTTCTCTTGTTCAAGCAAAGCTACCATGCATAAACAATGATATAAATAATATATTCTAATTGGAATATTTTGCTATGATTTATGATTTTTTTATACTATATTACATACCATCAACTTCTTCACTATCATGTCTTTGCCTTTCCTCTGTCGTTTCTTCTTCTTGTTGAGGAACATTTCGTGCACTGCCTGGTCGTTCAACAGTTGTCAAATCACTTCCTCCATCTCCATCACTATCATAGAATGAATCTGAGGACGGATGTTCCTATATAACATAATATAAATATAATTTTTTTTACAATATTTAATAATATATATATTACATATTATTATATATATGAATATATTAATATTAATATATATATATATGTATATATCAATAAATATTGATAATTTTAAAAACAATTTAATAAAGTTTAATGAACGGTTTACCGCCGTTCCCGAGGCATCAGTTCTAACAGAAAGAGAACTAGCTGAACGTGGCATATCTTGAACACTTAAAGTTTCTGCCTCTTGTAACCATTCATCAACGTTTACTATAAAAGTCACAAATAGAAAAAAATAATATTAATATATAATTTATTTCAATCTATTATATTCAGCAAAAAAACGATATGTAACAAACCTCCACCGTTTCGAAGACATTCTATTCTCGCTTCTGCCTTCAATTTTGCTGTCTAATGAACAAATAAACAAATAAGGAAAAGAATTAATATGAATCACATTTCATTCCATATCTTACCTCTGCACGTCGTATAATATGTTTCAGTTCATCGATTTTTGTATCTACATCTGGACCTTGTGGATCATTCGGATCAGTCTGTAATCATTGTTAAATGTAATTATTAATAAATTATTTTCAAGAAAATTGAAAAAAAAAATAATTCAATTGATTTGTGTGATGATCAATTGTCTATTAACCTTTTGTCCAGATTCTTTTAATTGTAGTAGAACTTGTAATTTCCTATTATTTTCTCGGATGCTATTTATTTCACGAGCTATTCTCGTTGACCAACGACGAGCTTCTTTTCCAAGTGTAGCTGCAGCAGAATGATCAGCTGTTATCCTGTAACAATTTGTTTTTAATTATACATAAAATATAATTGAAAAAAATTAATTCAAATATTATATATATACGATTATATATATTATACGATATATATTTATCAATACGATTTATATCTATTATATATTTATTATAATATTTATAAACCTCTCTATTGGATCGTTGTCACATGGTTCAAAATCATATTGTATATGTTGTTTTAAAACAGGATAATACAAGCAACAGCACTGTATATTGTACTCTCTTGTGAGCTGTAAAAAAATAGAAAATGAATGAGATAGATAAATTGATTGTTTGATCATTTTATTAAAAAATATAATGAATATTAGTAAAATGATATATAGATATATATACAAATGATATATAAATTCCATGGTTTTTTTAAAATTTTGTATTTTGTACTCACTTGTTGTGCTTGGTCACGAATTTTACCAAAACTATTTTGTGTAGCTAGACAGGTTAAAAGTTCTGTACGACCCATTAGCGTTAAATATTCTGCAACTTTATCATAAACACCTTGTTCTAAATACTGTTAAAAAAAAAAGATTTTTATTTTTTTATAAATAAAAATAATAAGAAAAAAATTATATAATAAAAAAGGCACTTACTTGCATAGTATTTTGTAGGTCAACTACAAAATATCTATTTTGATGTGCATTGGCAGCGGCAAGACTAAGCAAATAATCATTTCGCGCTCCTGTTGATTTTTCTTCTAAAGCATCGCGTTTCGAGCTTACCTGAAAATGATAATTGTACAAATTGTAAATCATTAAAAATTATTTAAGTCTATAATGTTTTTCATAATAATTCTTCACCTTTGCACTATTTTTCTGTAATGATGTTATCGATTGGAAAAAAGATCCCTTCTTTTTCTTTAATCTAGAATTAGTCAATATCAGATTTTAACTGTTACAAAATTAGAACATATCTATTAAATAAATGTATATAAATACATACTTCTCTTCAATATCTTTCGCTTTGTCGCGTACATCATGGGCGCTATGTTCTTCATCGAAATACAATTTCTTTGTTTTGTCTACATCTTGTACACAGATTTGTAATTCTTTTTGTACTATCATTAATTGGTCGATTGCCTAAGTGGAAAAATAATCTTATTCACTTTTTCTTGATTTTTTTGATTGATATACAATATATTATTCAAGGAAAATATACCTTCTTAGAAATTTGTAGTTTGTGCAACTTTAAACTTTTTGCATCGTCAGCAATTTGTTGTTGGAAAACTTCTACTGCTGCTAATCGCGCTCTAGCCAATTTCTCATTTTCTTCTAAGACAGTTCGCCAAACATTCCACATATTCCTAAAATTAACAATTATATTGATTTATATTGAATTGATATCTTATTTTTTTTTTCACTGATTAGAAAATAATAAAATTTACCATTTTTCTTCTGCTCCATCGACTTTCAGATCCGGAATATTTGGTATTTTTTTATTCAAATATGCAGAAGATATTTTAAGAAGTGCCTAAAATGAAAATTTTTAATCATTAATGATTGTATAAGTATTGAAATATAGTTTTCGTTATATGGTATTACCTCCGAATATGATTTTTCAATTGCAGACTTCTTTATTGTAAAGTTGCTGAAAAATATGCACTATGAAACATAATGCAGCGTAAAGTATTTACAATTTTCAAATGTTTAAATAAATTTCAATATATAAGGTTTTTTAAAAAATTAGAATTGTTTAAAATTAAATAATAATTTTTAATAAAGGAAATATTTTAGAAAAGAATAAATAGAGATAGAAATTTGATTGAAATCGTAAAATATATATTCGAAATTGCAAGATTTTCGAAACTATGAGATTCTCGAGACTAAAAATCTATCTTTTTTTTTCTTTTTCTAAAAAATACTAGTTTTTTAAAAATTAAAATATTAAGAAATTTTGATTTTTGATATTCTCCAAATTCGATTTATTATTGGCTTACAAAAAATTGAATTTTTAACTTTTATTTTTTTTATAAACTATTAATTGATCAAATCATGCCAAAATAAAACAGATAAGAGATTGAGATAAATTTAAAATTTAAACGCAAAATTGATTATTATTAGTAAAACAGAAATAAATTTGTGTTATTATTTCATAAGCTATTTATACGATTTATTTTTTAATTGAGTTTCGAGAATCTTGAATCGCAAAAATTCGAAAATTTTTCGAGTTTTAAAGAATTTCGAGTTTTAAGAAGTTTTGAATATTCCATCTCTAGAAATATATTAGAAAATCTTGCACTAAAACTAAAGAATATATATTGCAAAATAAATGTAAATTTATTTTATTAAAATATTTGTAATACAAATAATATAAGAAAAATATTTATTAGAGATAAGAATATAAAGAAATTAAGATATCGGTGATATAAAATGATTTAAACTTAGAATATTTAAAGCTTTTATCTAATCCTCTTTTTACATAAGACTTACCGTATATCTTCTAGAAGGTCGCATTCATGTTGATTTTTCGCTTGTAACTTTGCCGCTTGTTCTGCGTGTACATTTTTAAGAAATTTTGTGTAATTTCCCTGCAAAATTATTAATTCGTTTCCTTATTTGCAAACAATTATATTTTATACTTATCATAAATGTACAATATATGTAAAATATACAAAAATAATATCCTAATACAATAATTTGATTAATAAAATAGATTTTTATAATAAACCGAAACATATTCTTTTCAGGAATTTTTAAAAAATTAATAAATAAATTAATATCATATATATAAAGATATATTTCAAGAAAAATATATAGCTCATTCATTTATATAATAATATTATATATAATTATAATTTCATATTAATAATTTTTTTACAGATATTATATGAAAGTCAGCTTTATACTTCTTAAATGGAATTATATAATTTTTAATATATTAATCGATATATTATTATTTTTTTTATTAAAGTAAAAAATAATAATATATTTTTAACAAAAAATTAATAATTTAGAAGATATTTTATTTTTTTATAAAACTTATCATATAAAAGACAAGAAACTGCAAAAAGATACTCGTTTATTCGCTGACTGTTCCATACTCACATGCTTTCCATACAATAAGTATTATAAAATTCGAATTAAAATATCTTTCAGATTTATATTTTTTATTAAAGATTAATCATTTTTTATATAACTTAATAACTTTTTTATATAACTTAATAATTTTTTTATAAAAAACAATATACTATATCAAGAAAAAATATTATTATCAAAATCATATTAAATATTCAAAATGATCAAATTATTTTTTATAATCTGCTATATAATATTTTTAAATGTAAATAAAAATATTGATATAGATATTAATATACAAAATTATATGAAATGCATTTACTGAATAATAATATTTATGAATATAAATATTAATTTAATAAAAATATTTAATAAAAAATAAAATATTTTTATTTATTATTTTTATTTATTCTTTTATTATTTTTTACTCGTGTAATATATTCTAAATAAAAAGTATTATTTCAAATACAAATAAATTAAAAAATCATTTCTTCTTTGTTCGATTATCGATTTCTGTATCGTTGAAGTATTAATTGTCGGATAAAAAAGTGAGTAAGGATTACGCTTTGATTAGCCATAGCATCGTTGGAAATCAAGTTCAATTTTATAGTGCAGATAAGTATATCGATATTTTCTTACGCATCAGAACTCATATTGACTTTGTGAACTTTGATGAATATTCTTTTAATATGCAGGGACATCTATTTCGTCTCTAGTTCAATATTTATTAATTTTTTTAGGTTAATAACACATCTTAAAATTATATACATATGCAAATAGTTAAATTATCGTGATACACATTATCATATCACAATAATTCTTAAAATAAAGTTTTTATTTATTTGAAATGATAATACATTATAACAATGATATGTTATAATTCATTTAAAAAGAAATATAATAAAAGATATTATATAAAATATAAAAAATATTTATAATATTAATATATTTATAAAATATAACAATGATTTTTAATTATTGTATTAATTAATTTGTCTATAAATCACATTTATCAAAATTATTTATAAATGTGAAATATAATGAAATTAATAAAATAAAAAAATTAATAAAATTTTTTGTAATACATTAAGTGAAAAATACTGCTTATTGAAATTTTATTTATTTTCTTAGATTATTAGATTTTCTAATTGAAAATTAAATAGAAAATCAAGTTTTGAATTTGTTTATGATATAGAAATATATATACATATATGTATATATAATTATTCTTCCTCTTCTCCCTTACATGAAAGTATATATAATAATAACTTTAGGGATTATTATGCAAATCGAAAATCTATTTCATCATTTTTTAATAGAATGCAAATTTAAAAAAATTTTTATTTTATTTTAATCATTTAGAAGTATCAAATAACTTAAAAAAAATGATCTATCCATTTTGTTTCAATTCATTTGCATTATATATAAAATATAATTTTTAATAAATTTATCACTACTTAATCATTTATGTTATGATATTACTTTGAATACATTTTAATGATAAGAAGAAAATTGTATCCAATTATAATAATTCCTTTTGATTCAATTCTTCTATTGAATAAAAAGATGATTTTTAACTTATATGAGACTTGAGTACTTAAATGAAAGTGAAATAATATTACAATAAAGAATTTTAAGCAATAAATAGACCAAATAGCCAAAAATATTTATAGATTAGAATAGTTTATTTTTTAGAAAAATATTTTTCAAATTGAATAAATACATTATGATAAAATTATTTTACTTCAATCTAATAAATAAATAAATTATTAAAAATTTTATTATAAATTTTATTATTTAAAAAAAATTTTAAAAAAATTTTTCTCTTTGAATATTCTTGTCAAAGAAAAAATTTCAAGTATAAAGAAGGGTAAACATGAAATGTCTTATCCGGAAGACATGAAGAAAAATTCTCCTCCTTTTTTCCGTGCGAAAAGCAAATAGAAAAGAATACTCGTAAGAAGCTAGACTAAATTTCGCCGAAAGGAAGTATGCTTTCCAAACAATTTTAGTAAAATACGCATTTTCTTTTGCGAACCATTTTGGATTCTTGATTGGCATTCGGCAAGTCTAAGTGGGTCAGGAATTGCCCCATCTTTAACTATGAAACTTCATTGTAATGAAGTAAGGCGAAAAGCCGGCTCGCTATCTTAATAAATATATCGGAGAATTCTTTTTAAAAGAATAGAGTTAACTAAATAAAAGAGAAAACTTCCGACTATTTTCTTTATCTTCTTCAAATTTAATTAATTAATGGAAAAATATAAAATTACACAATATATTCTTCAGGTTATGTTTCAGAATGTAGGAAAATTGAAAGTGGATATAAACTATTAATTATATATACAGTAAAAGAATTATTTATCGATTTATCGAATAACTATTGCAGCATACTTTGCTTCAAAAATTAGATATCTTGTATAAAATTGTATATAGAAAAAAACATTTTCCAGAAGAACTTTTATTCTGATTATTACTATCTATTAAATAACTCTTTTATTTTTCTTGCTCAATTTAAAAAATTTTAAATTTTAAAACAAATGAAATTTATATAAAATTTCTGATCAAGAAACATGGCCATTAAAAATCGTTCTACATTCAAAATTCAGGATCGATTTCTATGAGAATATAGTCCTATTATATAATAAAGGAGATAAATAGAAATTTCAAGGACAGGATTTAAATTTGCATAAATAAACCACATTTCTAAAACGAAATAAAAACAAAAAATCAAAAGAAAAGCAGAAGTCATTACCAATAGAGACGCATATCTGTTTCGATCTGACACGATATTAACCCAGGTCTTTGGCCATTCTATACATTTTGAGGTCAGCTTTTGATATAGATTCGTGGCTAGGACCGTGCGCATCGATTTTCCCTATCGTGGTAACGTTCGAGTACCATTTACGTCAATTTTTCCATAAGATATCGCTAAAGATCGATAAACGGTCAAATTTGCACATTTCGATCGTATCAAGAAGAGAAACTTCTTTTATGCCTTCTTCAATACATATCATATTTTAAAGTTCATATAGAAATTCTATTTGTACAGTTTTATATTCATTCATTTTAATTCGTTTAAATATAAAATATGAAAGAAGTTTTTTACTTAGAGAAGATTTTAATTTATTTAGTTTGAAAGAATATGTATTAAAAGCATAATTACATAAAATAAAATTTGATATAAAGATAAAGAAAGGAAGAAATTATTTGAAAAAATTGGACAGCAAAGATACAGACAGAAAGATGTCAACTTCATCGGCTTACTTTTCTTGGTGGTGGTTGCATGCTGGACGAGCGGCCTGCTCTGCAGCCTCACCGCTGGCAGCCCGTTTTACACCGTCCGCCGGGGAGGGGTGCTCTGTTGTTTTCGTACGCCTCACCCGACACAATATTACACACGCTACCACCCTCACTGCTTGCGTGTTCGTACGCTACTGATCTCCTGTTCTCCAACTGAGTTAGCCTATTTATTGATCGCATACGCGCCTGCGTTCTCTTGATCTACGTCTTCGGCATTTCTCATTCTCTTTTTTCCGATTTTTCCCGATGTTTCCGATCTTTCGTGATAGAATTTATCATTCCTTTTATATGAAATTTTATCATCGATTGATATCAATCGAAATTTTCTTCTTTCGATATATTTGTTTTATTATTTTATTTTCGTTCTTTTTGAACCTTTTAAATACTCTTCTTTAAAATAAATTTATTTAAAGAAATAAACTATTTTAGAAAAACGTTAAATATGAATTTATTTGATAAATATGCAATAAAAAAATTTTTTTAATATCTATAATTTTTTACTTTTATTATTAAGTCGAAATGCATGATTTACCTCATGCTTTATTTAGGCATAACTTTATTTTCTATATATTTTTTATTTTGTAATTTCAAAATATTTATAAAATATATAAATAAAATTTATAAGATGAAATAACATGTGAAAACAAGAAAACAATCTCGGAAACAGTATTCAACTTTATTAATTGTATAAAAAGGGAATACCCTTCACAAATACATACCAAACGAATTCTTATTTCATATTTGACATATAATTATGAGAAACGTGTGACGTTACATACAAAATTAAAAAAGTCACAGCAGATATTTTTAAATTAGTTGGACATCCACAAGATGCGATAACTTCACTATACATTGTTTTGACTGTGTCAAAATCAGACTTGCTTAACTCACAAAAAATTTTTCTATTTAAAACATAATTATATTCAAACAATTTTTACTTTTTTAATATCGATTATTTTATAAAAATGGAATGAATGATGAAATATCTTATTTTGAAAATCAATAATTTTAACTTTTTAATTAAATGAAATTGTGAGATAAGCGAGTCCGACTAAATTTGAAAATTGACGCAAGAAGAAAGCAGTTCATAAATACTTGGTAATCGAATTTCATGCCTGTTCATTCTAATTTCTATCTACAATCAATATTCATGGCAATTCATCAGGCGGTATCGATCCAAGATCTTGATCAGCTGGTAAACCTATGGCACCTTCAACGTCAGCATCTTGACCGACTGGTAATATGACTTCTGGTTGAGGCACTGGTTCTGTTGCTTGCAAAAGAGCGATAGCTATTGGATTTCCACCAGCATCTAATACTGGATCAGCTGTAGCTTCAGCAAGATTAGTCACAGATTTTGATTTTACACATTGAAAATCAACATGTCGACTTTTCGCTTCTTCTTTCTCCCAAGACATATGAATAAATGGTCTTTGTACGTAATTATAAATTACTTCAGCGCGTCCTCCTGCTCTCTTCTTGATTTTTTCTTTATAAGTAGGATAACCTTCAATGCCTAAACGAATTTTTTTTAAACCACGTTCCTTCATTACCTGTTTGGCTACATCTCTATTTTCGATATATTTGAAAAATCGATACATCGCAGTACTGTTAACAGCTGAAAAATATAAAGCACTTCATTAAAAACTATATATCCAATAAAATTATTGATTTTCTATTGTATATATTCAATATACTGTAGTAAAGTCGAATATTCTGAAATATATTTGATAATATAAAAAAAACAAAAGTAAAAAATCAATATCTTTTACATTCTTACTTTGTGAATATTCTTCTCCCATCTGTGGAGGATATTCTTCATCCCAATCAACAATATCATCTTCCAATAAAACAACAATGTGACATTCGCGATCACCTCTACGTGCGCTGTTTACCATAAGTGGTAATATTAAATCTTCAAGAAATACTTCAAATTGGCATCGTGCACCTTCATTAGATAATTCATGTAATAATCCTCCTACAATAAATTGTGTTACCAAGATTTATTTTAATATTTTAAATAAGTTTTGAAATATTCTAACTATGAATCATTATATCTTATTATTTGTATATATCGCTTATGAATTTTTTTTAATAACAAATGATTACTAAAAGATTTAAAAAAAATGTTTTTGAATATTAAGACAGTATATCTATATACTGGGATAATATATTCATATTCACATTATTTTTGGGAGATTAATTTTAGAGGCCAAAATAAACACACAAATTAATATGCAAGTTGATATACTTTTTATTAATAAATTATGGTTTAAATTAAGTTGAAGTTTATTTATTAAGTTACAAACAATTAAAGTTTATATTAAATAAAAATATATAAATTATATATAAAATATATATATAAAGTAAAATATGGGATATTTTTATTTTTGTTATACTGCTGTCTTTTTCTATTTTTATTTAAATTATTATAATTTAAATTAATTATAAAAAAATAATTATTTATAATTAATTTATTTAATTAATTTATAACTTTATTAATAAGTTTTTATCAACATTTTTTTATATATAACTTTTATGTTTCTCTTGACCTCTATAATTTAGAAATTTCTAGACTTCTGAACTTCCTATAATATATAATATATAAATATTCTATATATAAAATATCATGTATATAAATTACCATGAATTGCACAATATACCATCCTATATATACACATATATTATAATAATAATAAATATCATTATATATATATATATATAAATTTTTATTTAATTACTTACTCAAATTTTGACATTTTACTGTATTAGCGTCAAATGGGACTAGTAGATAATCGCAAGCTTCTCGTAACTCTTGAACAGCAACTGTCGGAGGACATCGAATTACACCACCTTTATAATAATCAAGAATAGCTCTAAACACCATAGCAGATATACCATCTGCAACTTCATATTCTCCACGCTCATTTGGTTGAGCATATTCAACTCCAGAACTAAACATTCTACCTAACATTGTATTTGGATGTGCAGTAAATAATGCAGGATCAACAATAAATCTAAAATCAAAATTTATGTTCTAATTTAATATAATTATATTAATAATTAAAAATATATTAAATAAATTTACCTAGTATTATCAACAATAAGAGTAATGCGTTCATCACTTGCTTGTGGATTATTTATACCAGTAACAGATCCTGATGATGGTAAATTGTCTCTACTTTGATTTTGTTGATTTTTTCCAACACCAACTCCAGAGCAAAGTCTGAAGAAAAATATGGTTCTAAGTGACTACTGAAGATCACTTAATATTAATACCTACATAAAACAAAGGAATTATGACTAATAAACATATAAAGCAATGCAAAGTATCGAATAAATATATAACTAACACCTACCTGTTTATGATTCCTGGATTCTTGTATAATATAAGAAATAAAAATATAATCCTCAAAAATATACAATAATTAACACTATCAAATATTAACTTAAAATCATTATGAAGTATATTTTAAAATTAAGATAAAATTTTGTTTTAATCTTGCATTCATATGTGAATATTACCTGTTTTGTTGATTAATATTAGTATTTTGTCTCCCAGAATTGAAGGAATGACAGTGTCTTTCATTGCTCCCATCTCTTTGTACCAAACAAGATTTTGGTTTTGAAGAGCCACCACAACTACATGCAAAACAACAACATTACCTTTCTAATATTTGCATTCGACAACAAGCATTGTGTACTATCTATTAATCTAATATATAGGATAAGAATTAATTTAAATAGATAAGTGTATATATACATAAAATTTTTATTGCAAAAGTAATTTAATTAATAATATAGTTTTCTAGTTGTTTATTTAATTTATTATTGTTTCAAGATTTATTTTAATAAAGAAAAGAATTTTTTAATAAGAAAGAAAAATAAAAAAATAAATAAACGAAATCAAGCAAATTTTTAAAAATTTTAGATGACATAATTATAAAAACATATTTAATTATATAATATAAATTAAATTTTTTTGAAAAATAAACAATTAATATAATAATATAAAATATAATAATATAATAATATAATAATATAAAATATAATAATATAATAATATAATAATATAAAATATAATAATATAATAATATAATAATATAAAATATAATAATATAATAATATAAAACAGAATAAATTAACATAACAAAACATATAAACAAAACAAAATAATTGTTTTAATACACATTTATATAAGTAATGTTTTAATATATATTTTTTTTGATTGAATCTAATATTAAAACATGAAAAGTAATAATTTATAACTTTCAATTAAAAAAAATCTGACATGCATGACATTCTACATAACATTCTTCGATACATGCTTGATTTTAAATATGTAATTGTTAAAATAGATATTTTAAAGGCAATATAGATTACAAATGAAACTTTTATAATATCAATAATCTAAAATATTTATTTTAATAAACTAAAAAATTAAACTAATATTAAAATATCTAAAATATCTAGAAATATCTAGAGATATCTAAAATATCTAAAATATCTATATATTTTTCTTTTTTATACTGAATATTATATTTATTTATATCTTTTACATAGTACCTCATTCTATTCTTATAAATACGATGACGTCCTCTACCACCCGTTTCTTTATCTGTTTCTGTATCACTACTGCTATCCTGAATATAGTTTAAACGTTCTGCAGGATTTGACATCTTGGACCAACTATAAAAATATAATAAAATGATATAATAAATGATAATATAATAAATTAAACAATTTCATTAATGAATTATTAAATTAATTATAAATTATTATTTTTACTCCAATTTTTTCAAATATCTTCTCAATTTCATTTCTTACTAAATTTATTTTCATAATTAGATATTTTATTAAAATAAATATTATTACATTAATATTATAATTAAAGCAAATATAAATATTTAAAAATTATACAAAAAAATTTTAATCAAAAGCTGAAGTTTCTAGTATTTAAAAGATTATTATTACGGTTTTTGTTTATTATAAAAATAATATTTAGAAAACATTTAAAAATGTAGTTGTATAATATATTTTTTAATTATTTATTGATAGTAAATGTAATAATATTGCATAAAATTTTGAAAATATATTTATTACAATAATAATTGAAGAGAAATTATTATTGCAAAATTTTATGTTACATTTCATGCATTCTTTAAAAAATATTACTATTATTATGTGTATATAATGCATATTTCATATTAAATACTTACAAATTAGATATTGACAAATACCACCCAAGTTTTTTTAAAAGCCAGCTAACTGACGTGCAAATTTCTAAACCACACGATTGAAAGTTAACCTGACCTTCTCTTTTGACGGAAAGTTGCATTCCAAACCGATGATACAGATAATACGAAACACTACAGTCATTGATGACAATCGTTTCGACAGGCGTTGCCCGAATTTTATATTGTATCAACTTAAAAGAATAACGATATTGCAATTAAAAATAAATAAATAATAATTATTTGAAAATTTTATTATATAAGAAAATTAAAGGATTTTTTTACTTATTTTCATTATATTTTTCATATATTGTGGCATATATCCAAATAATAAATATTTTAAAATAATATGAATTCGCGCCAATATGGACAATCAGATGTCTCTTTCAATAGTTCCAATAAAGATTCATATCTATTTCTTATAAATTTAATGATATTTATAAATTCTGTAAATAAACAAGTACTTACACAAGTTGAAAGTCCAATCAAAATATTATTAATAATTATTTATATACAATTATACTGTTTATAATGATTAGTATATAAAATAATTATATATAATTTTAATAATATATAAATAATCTTTTAATATTTATAAAAATGTTTGTAAAATATATTAGTGTAGTGATTTGTATTATTTCCTTTTTGTATACTTTTTATGTTTTGTGTAATTTAACATATTTCTTATCGAATTACGATGAAAATAAAGAAGCAATTATTTCATCACAAAAGAGTAAGTAATAATAATAGTAATAATAGTAATAATCATAATTCTTTTAATTGAATATTTATCAAAAAAAAAAAAAAAATACAATAATTTGCTTATAATTCATTTTTTATCTTACAAATTTATATTACAGATAAAGATTCTGTATTATGGTTGTTAATAATAAATATGTTTCTATTAAGTATTTTTGTATTACAACATTCACTTATGGCTAATGATTTTATAAAACATTTATTTTGTAAATTACAAATGGATTATATGGAGAGAAGTATTTATAATGTTACTAGTGCTATGACTCTCCATTTATTATTCAATAAATGGCAAATTATTTCATCCATTATATTATGGAAAGTTAATATTATTTCTAATAATGTTTTGTGGTTCATGTTCACTGCTCTTCATGTGTTGGTTTGGTCAATAATTTATAGTGGATGTTTAATGATGGATATATCTGAATTAGTTGGAATAAAACAAGTATATTACAAATTTTCATTTAGACCAAGTCCCATGCAAATGAAATCTAAAAAATTATTACGTTATTATTCACATATGAGACATCCAAGTTTTATAGGATTTCTTATTATTTTATGGATATATCCTTATATGACGTAAGATACTTTTAAATTTTTTATATAATAATACTTAGATTGTTTAAATTAAATAAGTAATTGAATTTAAATATTTTATAGATTAGACAGGTTATTATTGGCTTCAATACTCACAATTTATATGGCCTTAATGTGGATGATTGACAAAGAGGATTATAATTATCATGTTAATTTTGTAAAGAGAAAACAAAAAGAATTATTTTGATTTCTATTTATACATATTATGTCATTTTTTCAATTATTTCCATTGCAATTAAAATATATATTCATTTATATTAATATTTATTTAAAATCTTTATATTGTAAAGTATGTATATAACATAAATATAAATATATGAAATTCTAAATTTATGTTTCAATTATTATCTGACTTGTTAATTAATATATTAGATATAACATAGAAAATTTAATTTATAATTTCAATTAAAAGTGCTGTTCCTTTCAAAATCCAATGTGATTGTTCCTTTTCAGATGGAAGTAGAATTGCAACAACAAAATTTGTACTATGTCCAGTTGTAGACAATACACCTGCTCGAATTGCTGTTTTATATAAAGGACAAACATATCTTGGATCATCTTCTGGAAGCTTTAATACTGGATTTATATGTAAAACTGGAAGAGATGGATGCATTTCACCTAAAATAGATAATTTAATTACATTTTTTCAATAATATATTATTTAAAAAAATAATGTTTCTAAAATTAACACTTTACCTAAATATTCATCTATTAATTGCATAGATTTAAAATCCCATCTACCAGCATCAATGAATAATCCATGTATTAGAACTCCATCTTCTGGCACTTGTAAGTCTTTATATATTTCTATTACCTATTATTATTATTATACAATTATTATATATTATATATTTTGTTGTATTATTTGCAGTAATAAAATATTTATAATGATCAAACCTCCTTTCCAGATTTCTTGTGTTCTATTTCTATTTCTTCTTGATCAAGTAAAATATTTTTGGCAATGAAATCTAACTTTAAGTGATCTATAGGAATATTATATTTTCTTGCACATGTTTGTAACATGCCAGTTAAAAATCCTTGAGGAAAAGAAAAACCCGAAATCCAAAAAGAAATTGGTTTTACATCAATTAACCAAATCTGTAATGTATAATAATTAGTAAACTGTGGTTTAGTAATTTTTTTTTAGTTTTTTAATTTTTTATTTTGTAGTTTTACTTGAATAAAGTCAATTCTTAGCTCCAAATTCTTAATCCAACTTCCTAAGGTTTTTAAAGATGGATAGACATTTACATTATGCCACATTTGTGGTACCTAATTTATGATATATTATTAGGAAAAACTATGAAAGTAATTAAGAATATTTATATAAATTTTTCTATTGAAAAAATATTATTTTTTAAAGTATTAGTGGATAAAAAAAATAATAATTGCAACAGAACTTGATTATTGATGAGGGCTATAAAGACATTTTCTAATTCTTCAGACATGACAACAAAACCTTTGATGGCTCGCTCTAAATCTTCTATTGATTTATGTATTTTGATTAAAAGTTTATTATATCTATCAACTTCTTGAAGGAGAACAATAGTTAAAGATGGAAGTCTTCCTGCTGAATCTCTCTATAAAAATTTTGTGATAATTTTTATTTTATAATCAATATAATATATATATTAATATATATTATAATAATATTATAATGTAATATTATAATATTATAAAATTAAAATTATTGTTTACTTTTAAATGTTCAGGATTACATTTTTTAGGATCTATTTTTAACTGAATTTTTTCATTAATCATTTCAGCTAAATCATGTATTATATCTGAAGTAGATTTATCTTCATCACTAGTAATTTCTTGTGGTTGCACTTCCAAAATAGTCTTTAAGATGAAGTGCGTTTCTCTCAACTGATATGATAATATAAATATAAATTAGCATTAAGGAAATGATGTTTCTTCTGATTATATTTGAATAGTTTTAATTACTTGATAAGCAATATTTGCATTTTCATGCATTCCAAATATTTCTGGATCATCAATTATAGAAAAAGTTTCTATAAAATCTTTGTATTCTTGTAAAGTCTTGTATACAGGACAATAATATTTTCCAGATGGTGAATAAATATAATCTATGATATTTTATATTAATAAATATTATATAAATATATGTTATGTATTTGTAATTATGATTTAATTTTAAGTTACTTACTCAAAGTTAAAGTTTTAGGAGAAAAGAAAATAGTTAGAATTGTTTTCATACATCTTAGATCCCAACTATCTGTAACTCTACCTCCATAAGTAATTTCACCTAAAATGAATTGTATAATGATGAATATATATATAATGAATATAATATGATTTTGAAATCTTTCTTAACTTTTATTAAAGAAAATTTGAGAAATATTTTACAACCTGTAGTATATGTTAATGCATTCCATGGTATATGCTCTGATATACAAAATAATTTCAAATTTTGTAAACAACATTCTCTATCACTATCATTAAATTCATATACAATATTCCATCCCAATGGTCCAAATTTTTTTCGTTCTTGAATAATTGCATGGAAGAAACAAATTCCGAATATAAGTTTGCGCCAATTTTCCTTTAAGACTGTATTAAATAAAAAAAATTAAAATTGTTAATAATACTTATATTTCAATTATTAAAAATTTTTTTTTTACTGTGTTGTTCAAAAAATTCCTCGTCCAAATCATATAATGCTCTCTTAATATTGGCTTTTAGACCTTTTGGTGGCTCATTAGTGACTTTCACAGAATTCTGAAGAACAGAAACTGGAAAAGCTTTGCTTGGCATCGAACTCAAAAATAATCGAAAATCAGTATGAATTACTCCTTTTGGTTCTTCAGCAATTGCCATCACAATTTGTTCCATATTGACCATCCATGAAGTAGCTAAATGGCAATTTTGTAAAAATACCCATCTGCCTTCTACAGTACCTGTTCGTATATGTCCTTCTGCAATAGGACCTTGACCTTGTCCTAAAGAAATTGAATCATATCTATTGGAGAAATCCATTTCATGTGCAAATTTTTGAAAAGCACTGAAAGGATCTGATCCAGTTGTGAGTATAAAAATCAATGGTATTTTGCATGATGTATCTGCAAATCTGAAAATATTCAGTAATAAATTTATTGGCATCAAAACAATAATTTTGAACATATACAATTTTTGTATACATACAAAAGTTGTAATGTTACCATAGGTGATTCCACAAATTTAGGTCCCAAATGTTTTGATACATAAGCTGTGATAGCAAAAATTAAATGTTCTTCTCTCAAAGCTTTTAGCAACAGTAATTTTTCAATATCAGTTAGATTATTATTCCAATCGTAAGCAGCAATTTCTTGATTGGTAGGAATTATATTAATATCCTAAAAAAAATCGAAATGTTATATTATTCATAATAAAAATTGAAATGAAAATAAAAAAATGATATATTACTTCTTCAAAATATCCAATAGTTATTATAATTTCTTTAAATGCATCACTTAAAATATTTTCAAAGCTATCGAATGTCTTTGCTAAATAATTGATTGAAGTCCATATTGTAGTTGTTAAAGTTGGATAATCTGGCATTTCTTCCTATTTGAAATTCAAATATTTAATAATATTTGAAAGATATTAATTATAAGCCTTAAGACAAAACATATAACTTACAACGACAATTCGTGTAGGTCCTCTTAACAAAAAATTCCACTGTACTAGGGATACAATCTCATCATTCATATCTATTGCAATATTAAGCATAAAACTGAATATTAATTTATGTTTCTCGAATAAACCTCGCGAAACATTTGTATAGATAGCTAATGTTATTTCATTTAATAATATTTGCAAACGTAATTGTAAAATATCTTCTTTTTTAGTAGTTTCAATTATCGTATTAAAGATCTAATAGAATGTTGAAAAATGTTAATGTATTAAATTGTATATTTGCAAATTGCAAAAATATAATTATTCATCATATTATTATTTACTTGATTAAAGTATTTTAATGAGAATTGATACATGGGATCTATGTTTGCAAGATTTGCAACTACAAAATACAAAACTGATCCACGATTTGCAACAGATCGATATTTTTCACGCGCAATTGATATATTTTTTTCAGTCGTTTCACTTTCAATTAATCTCATTGCGATAATTGCCGAAGTTTCTTTACTGTCATTTAAAGTTTCTATTAGCTCCTCATTGTCCAAAATATCATCGCCTGCACCATATAACAATGTTAAAATTTTGTCTTCAATGCTTTGCAATTGACCTTTATCTGCATTGATTTTTATTATTAAATAATTTCTCATTGATTCAAGATCTGGCCTTTCCAGACGTACAACATCTCTATATAAAGTTTAAGAAGATAGAAAATTTAAAAATTAAATATACATGTTTTGCATTTAGATAGATTATTTATTATTTAGATTACTATAATAAAATACATACGCGAGTAATTGTTCTTCGAGACCGCCTACGGTTACAGTAAAATTGACTATTGTTACTTTAATACAAATTTCTGGTAAATAATGAGGATTTGCGATTTTTGTTGTAATGTATAATTTAAAATTATCATCATACTCGACATCTGTATCGCCAAATCTTATTAATGTTCTACCACCCTATATAATTATATCAAATAATATTATTAAAGTAATCGCATAAGTAATAAATAATAAATAAATATATACCAAAATGAAAATTTGTTTAAGCAGAATTGGTTCTAAACTTGGATCCAATACTTCTCCTACTTCCTGAATTAATACAGGAGTTCCAAGTCGTATAGATGCCTCTAGTACTCTCATTAAATTTGTATCTGTCAGTTTGCATATTTTCAAGTTATTGTCTTGTTCCATATTTCGTATCCACCTATTTGCCTTAAAAATAGAATATAGTTTACAAATAGTATCAAATATTAAGTTCGAGTATATTTCATATGCTATAAAAATAATTACTTGTTCTTGAGGATCAATCATTAAAGGCCAGCGAGTGGATTGTGTTACAAAAATACCATTTTCTATACTGACTTTATCTCGTGGTAAACCATACGTATTCCATTGACGAATTTCATAAGGATCAACTAATATTGCAATGAGACTATAATTTTCTGTAGTATCAATATCGTAATTCTTGCAATGAGATAACCAAGATTCTATCAATTCTTCTCTGTATTCATTTGTAAAAGCACCCAGATAAGCAAGAGCACCAGCAGCTATCAAAATATCACCAGTCAAATTGTTAATTTGCTGTTCAAAACCCTAAACATTTACATAAAAAAGAAACTGATTATAATTCATTATATTATATGTTTTAATACAATTATATATGTTAAATACAATTTTTTTTTTATCATACGCGTGTTAACTCTTCCCATAGAACTCGTTCATCCACTAATGCAGATGTCAATCGTCCAGATCTATTCAATCTTGTTTCTGCTAAATTCATTTCGGCTTCTAATTTATTCAAATTTTCTAGAGCTGCATCGTATTGCTGTTGCAATTCTATGATTTTTCTTTCCACTTCGGCAAGTTCTTGTTGTTTTTTAGCAACTATTGCCTCTATGGCATTTAATTCTTCTTCAGCTTTCTTTAATCTATTAATAATTATTAATTTTAATTAATAATTTAATAATTATACCAAGATTTAATTATTACCAAGATTTTTTGCTTTT